TATTTAATAAAGGAAAAATGTTTGGGAGGGGGAGAAGAGACAGCAATATTGAAAGATAAACCTTTGTGAAGATACTCTCCTTACCTGATTTCTCAACCAGCTCTCTGACATCTTTCTTTTCCAGAAGCCCTGAGTACCCAAGTCCCCTGCATTCCAAAATGGTCTTCAGTTTTTTAAAACTCAGAGCCACTGGGTCGACCAACTGAGTGGCAAAGAAGCCAGTTTCATACCACACAATGGCTTCAAAAAACCTGGCCAGAATAAACAAGACCAAAAAATAAAGAAGCAAGAAAAACAGTTTCAGCCACATCTTTCTTGTGTGTGGATTTTCGACTCTCAGAAGAGAGTCCCTCAGTCCTACAAGAGAGAGAAAAAGAGGAATGTCCTGATGGAGAAAGCAAAGGGAGCCAGGCATTCTGAATACTTAGGGTCTTGTCCCTAATGTCAGGATCTTTCCCTTTTTCTCCCCATTTGGAACAGAATCTGAACCAGTTGGATGGATAGTGAGTAGAAGACCTTGTCTGGAGGTACCTGGGAGGAAACACTGGCACTGGTTTAAGGCAGCCAAGGAGTCACCTCTCTTTTCAGACCAGCTGATGATAAGGCAGAAATACAAACGGGTGGTGGTGGTGGTGGTGCAATAGAACTTTACCGTGCGGCACCCGTAGGAGAAGGGCTGGAGCGTTTCAGGGATGAAAAAGGATGACCGCTTAAGGGGGGAGGGAATTCTGAACGGCGGCAGCGAAGGGGGTGATTTTGCGTTAGCGATGTCAACTGGGTTATTGGGGGGGGGGGTGACTGGCGCTCGAAAGGGAAGATCCGAAAGTGGGATGAGGGGCACTCCTCGGTGGGGGTAGGGAGCAGAGCCAAGGAAAAGGGCAGCTGGACTGGGCAGGGCGAGGCACCTCGCTTATTACCCCTCCACGGGCAGACGGCGGTCCTACTTCTGCGGGGACCGCTGGCGGTGACTTGGCTGGGCTTCCGCGTGCCCCGTCGTCGTCGCCGCCTCCCCGCGGCGGAGCAGAGCCCAAGCCGGAGGAGACATAACAAGTGACGTCTGCAGTCGCGGACGGCCGCAAAGGGAGGGGGAAGGGGAGGGATGTGGATCCAGAAAGCCGGAAAGGAAGAAGAGATCTAACCCAGCCAAGCAGTTCTTCCTTCCTGGGCGACCAACTACGTCGCTCACCCCAGTGACTAACCTGGGCGTTGCTCCTCACGGGTTTGTTTACCTAGAAAACCTGCCGGTCGGTCACGTTAAAATGCCTTCGTGCGTTTAGCGCAGGCCACGGAGCTGGCCGCTTGCCTTTTAATCTTCCCGCGGCGATTGCTACAGACAAGCGATTGTCTCCTTTCCGCCCACTTTTTGTACCTGGCAGAGAAAACAGCGGGAGCAAAAAGAATCGATGGAGTAGTCCACCCACTCATTTGGTTCTCCCGAGTCGAAAGTCGCTTTAGTCGGAAGTGATACTCTACTAAATGCGTTTACATTCCGAACTCTAGTTCATTCTCAAACGGAAGTCTGCAAGGCAATTTTGAGGCTGTTAATTAACATTAAAATCATGTTTCCTAAGAAGAAGAAACAAACCTGTGTATTATATCGATCTCTTCCCCCGTCCAGAAATCTAAAGAAATATTCTTGTAAGTCAATTATGCTGAATAACATAAGATTATAATATAACAGTGTCTAAAACAGAATATAACAAAGTATCCAGTATTCAAATTCTATACTGCAACCACATTGAATTATTTTAAACATAGCATTAATCATTGATTTATTAAATAAATCATAATTGAATCACGCCTTTCTAAACCGGCAACAAGATATACATTGCATACACATTTCAATGACTGCACATTTCACAATAATCCACAATCACATAAAGCCATATCACAGTTTAGCAGTGTTGACAGTCATACTCTGACATTTTCCCAGCATATCTCCATGACATCAAATACAGGAAATTGTAATTTTAACACAATTAAGAACATGTATAGGTTTCTACTTGTGGAATAAATACAAGATGAGGATAACACCACAGACATAGCAAAAAACAAAAACAAACCCACATACTGCCAGGGCAGAATTATGCTCTGACCAACTGTAAATAGGGAAAGGCCTTAATTCATTGGTAAGTGCCATGTTTAAACTAGTTCAATGTTTTATTGAGACATTACTTCAGAGCAGCTTCAAGATACATAAAATTGGTTAGGTATTGTCACCTATTACTCCAAAGGAAAGCCAGGTGATAAGCAATTGAACTGGTGATGGTATTAAATGAATAGTACTTATAACTGGTTCTCAGAGTTCTGACCATTGCAACATCCCTGTAGTCAAATCTGGACAATCAGCAACTAGGCTAGGTTTCCAATTATTGAAACATCTGTGGTCATGTAACTGTGATTCAAAATTTTCTCTGCTAGCTTCCTACAAAGTCAGTGATATGTGAGGTCCTTATTTAACAATCCACACCATTAACTAAATATAGACTGCTGAGTAGATATTTGGATAAGATTGTACTATAAAGTTGCAATTCTATGGATTACCTTATGCTGAAGTAAACAAGACCTTAGAAAAATAAGTTTTAAAATTGTAGTTCTAAACTAGTAGCTGTTGTGGTTCGACAGCTGCCTGTGCAGACAGCAGCAGAATCAGACAGTGGGGAAGAACGGGGATCAGTCCGGGAGTCTGGAGGAGGATCCTGCGTCTGATGCAGAGATGAGGCCAAGACCATCTGGGAGTGTGGTGCTGTCTCCGGAGCCTCTGGAGTCTGGCAGCAGTGAGGCCAAGGAACAAGAGGGGCCTGTTCCCAATGCACGTGTGTGCAGAGCTGCTAGAAGGCAAGAGCAGCTGAGACAAAAGGGGTGACTTGGGAGTAAGGCTTGGAGATGATTGCACCTCCCATAAGGTATAAAGGGCAGGCAAAGGTGAATAAACCTTTGTAGGAAGCAAAGTCGTTCGTTTTGTTCAGATTAATCCTTGAAGCTGTGTAGACTTTGTAGTTCGGTTGGTTTTTTATAATTCATTTGACACTAGTTGTTGGCAGCAATTCAAAGAAAAAAAAGGTGTGCTTATCTCGAATGGACTGTTTGGGACTCATTACCAGCTGGGAATGAACATAATTCCCAGCATTGAAATAAAACAGTTTTAACTAAGCTTGTGCTTAATTATGATCTTGGGAAGCCTTGGTCAGAACAGTAGCGACCTAGTAAGACATAATAAGCTTTATATAAAAAAGGCAGGATACAAATAAATATATCAGCTTGCCTTCAGAAATTGTGAGTGCTTCATCACTGGAGATTTTTAAGATACTGAATAGTCAATTGTCTGAAATGGTATAGGGTCTCCTGGTTGAGCAGAGGACTGAACTAGAAGCCCTTCAAGCTCCCTTCAAGCTCTATTCTGATTGATTGATCATTGCATAATACATGCACAATCACTTTAACTTTGCAGAAATAGTGTTCTCCCAGTTCAATTGATTAAACAATATTATATATCTGTGGAGTCCCTTTTCTGAAATAGTGCTTGCCTTCCAAGATCTGGATGGTTCTCACTCTGCTATTATTCAGAAGGGCAATGAAAACCTGGCTCTTCACCCAAGGCCACAATGGAGTGTAACCCATACTTTCTCTGCTTTGATGTGCTTACTTGCTATTTTCGCTCATTTTATAGTAATTTGATTGTTGTGAACCATCTGGTATTGTTGGGAGTTGAGCAGCATACAAATTTAATAAATCATAACACTACAGGCCAAGGTCACATATTGCAGTAAAGCACACTGCAATTTGACCAGTAATATCTATGAACTCGGCCATTAGGGTTTGTAAATCTTGGTTTACAACTCAGCATGTAAACCTGGCTAGCTGGGAGTTAAGACACGGTTTAATTTGTTGTTTTTTTTTAATCTCAATGAGCACTTATCTGATCTGAGGGGTCCCTACCTAAGACTCTTGTATTTTCTCATTTTGTAAAACTGCAGCATATGGCCTGCACTAAAGCATGGGCAAAGAAAAATAAATTTTTACCAAGGTAAATTAAGTAGCAGCCATTACAAGCACTAACGCTTGACGGAAAAAGCAAAGATAACGTAACTAAATACAGTTAAGAAACGTGCAACAAGGAGGATGAGAAGCACATTATTTCCTGAATCCACGCTATGGGTCGATTATTTATTACTGGTTTTTTTTTTTTTAAGGGGGGACGGGTTCCCAACAATAGCTCAGATCGACGAATCCACTATTTGAAGGTTCCATATACCCAGCTCGGGAAAACAAACATAGTCCCGCCGTGTGGCCTGGAGATAATAATCAGCTCGCGACGGAAGTTTAAACTAGGAGAGAAAGACCTAAAAAAAAATGGCTTCCGTTTTCGCAGGGGTTTGTTAGCGGCATCTCGGAAACGGATCCAACTCCCGTTAAAGAGCCTTACTGAGGGAAACCCCCTTTCTTGAAGAAACCCTTCGCAAATAGGCCGTCAGAACCTCGAGATTCTGTAGAAACAGCCGCTTCTTCAGGAGTCTCGGAGAGCCCTTTGGTCGCTCTCAAATCCTGCTTGAGCGAGATCAGGCTTAGCTGACTAAGCTGCTGCCTGACTTGAATGCGGAACAGCGGCGTGAAAAATAGACTAGGCATCTAGATAGACACAAGACCGTCACTTAATTTGAAATTAAATTTTTAAAAATGTAATTTAAAAAATCCAAAAGACACTTTCGGTGGGACCCCCCCTCCCGGTCATTTAACTGGTACTAGGACTAGTTTGACTTTGTTAGTCGCTGTTATTTATTTGCAGACCGGCAGCATTTCCAAGTATTTCATGAGCAAGATGACTTAGGGCGTGAGCGGGAGGCAATGAATATCTAAAAGTCCCGCAACGGTCGTGTTAGAGCTTCTTCAAGGGCGTTGGAAGAATCGTTCAGATCGTTTCCTATTTTTAATCGTAAACTCCCAGGTTCCCCTTGAAGGACCTCCAAGGCTGTTTATAGCGCTGCCTGTGACGCATCTCCAGTATTTAGCTGGTGGACCTCAGCTGTCTTCCGTGCTGCCTGCAAAAACAACAGCTCGCCAACTGGTTCGGTTAGCTCCTTCGTTCTCTTTCCGCGGAGGTCCTCCGTGGAGTGTCCTCTGGCCGAGCCGTACAGTCTTGCTTGGTCGGCGGGAGGACGAGCGGGCGACGGAGGGGAAGACAATGGACCAATGCGTGACGGTGGAGCGCGAGCTAGAGAAGGTGCTTCAGAAGTTCTCCGGCTACGGGCAGCTGTGCGAGCGGAGTTTAGAAGAGCTGATCCAGTACGTGGCAGGGCTGCGTCGCGAGATCCTCCAGAGCGAAAGTATGTGCTGCTGCTGCTCCCCTTTTCTTTTCAGAACAAGCGTTCCGAAGTGCTTTTCGTCCTGAGAGTTGTGCGGGTAGAAATTCGGCCGGTGAAGCTTGCCTTAAAAAGTCGGCTGTTTCCACAAACCGCACACCAGCGTTATCCACTACAATTGCCATTGAGCCTGTCCTCAGCAGGGGATTGTAACTAATCCCAGCTTTTTAATGAACGTGTCTATATTATGTATAAAGTGTTCATAAGACATTGGGGGTGGGGGTAGTAGTTATTAGAAGTACTCTTTGAAAAAGCTTGCCGACAATAAAGAAACCCTTATCACCAATGTTTCATAATTTTTCTTTATGGGGACTGCTGTTACAGAAATAGGATCAGGGCTTATTAGGCAAGATGGCAAATCCCTGTACAAGTCCTATTCTGGCTGTTTTGTTTTGTCCCAGTCGTCTTGTATGTATTACTGTGTTTCCTCATCTTCTCAAGCTTTATGAATGTGTCATCTCTTCCTTTAAATTTGCTTTCAGTCATGTGATCTGTGTTCAGTGTAACAATTCTGCCCATTTGTTTTTCATTTAGTTTGATCAGGTTCATTCTCAGAACATTCTGTATACAGATAAACCCTCTTTTGCTTTAAATTATATTTCCTTATAGTTGGCTATAATTTTGTACAAGATACCACTTTCAAGTCCACTTCAGTCTGCCCCTCCCAATGTTGGTTCTTTACTTTTCCATTAGTTAGAACTGTCTGAAATATGTTAGAAACATTAGTAGTAAAAGAATAAAGTTGTATCTTCCGTTTCTCCACACATACCCCAAAAAGCAGGAAAAAATACCAAAAATACATATGACTGATGATGTAAAATTAATTGGGCAGGATATGATTCGTATATTTTCTGACAAATTCAACATCCCTACACAAATTTTCCTGAAAGGCCATTTTGAGAATGAGGAAGATGGTAGTGGGATCAGGATTTATATATTCTTAACATTGTTGGTTAATAAATAGTAAAGTTTTTACTTCTTCAAGTGCATGACCTTTATACTGTCAGAGGGTTACTTGATATTTCTCACTAGCACAATTGGTCCAGGAGCACCTAATTGCTAATTAACAGGCCTATTCCATAAATCTATTGATGAGAGTAAATTTGGAACTTTAAGAAGGCTTTTTCCTTAGGTCACTAGTCCATTTAAAGAGACAGTATAGAGAAAGCAAAAGCCTAACTTGTGTATTTGTGGATATGAAGCATTGGCAGATAATGTTGAATACTTTGTGACAAAACAGACAGACACCTTATGTATTTGAGGTTATTGAACTAACTGACAAGCTAAACCAAAACTGCAAATGGTTAACTCTTAGAAAAAATATCTCTGGATTATAAGAACATATAAAGAAAACTAAAATAACATAATTTTTATTCTTCTAATAGCTGTTCTAATAAAACAAAGATGAACAGTTGTTTTCAGGATTGATCCATAGCACCCCATTCTAGTTGATAACTCTGATTAATGATTTGAAGTGAATTTAGGAAAAGTGAGGTCTGCTTAAAGGAGCTTGTTGTTTCTTAAGACCAAGATGTTGAATAGAGTCTTAACATAGTTTGTAAATAATTTGCAGTATTAATTATTAATATCAGAGGTAGACTGCACATACTGTAATGACCGGTTCGTGAAAAATATGAGTACACACGCACGCCAGAAGTGGTATTCAGCAGGTTCTGACCAGTTCTGGAGAACTGGTAGGGGAAATTTTGAGTAGTTCAGAGAACTGGCAAATACCACCTCTGACTGGCCCTGCCCCATCTATTCTCTGCTTCCCGAGTCCCAGCTGATTAGCTAGGTCTTTTTTTGTTGCCCTGCACAGGAGAACAGAGCTGGAAAGCAGATTAGTGGGGTGGGGAGGGAATGGGCTTTTGCAGTAACCTTCCCCTGCCATGCCCATCAAGCCACGCCCACAGAACCTGTAGTAAAAAATGTTGAATCCTACCACTGGCACACGCCCACTTTACATGCGTGTGGCTGCAAAAAGAAAGGGATTTCCTGCACGACAGCTGTGGTGGGTAGAGCAGATGAGGCGTGGAAAGCAGCTGGGCTATATGGGAGGGGTGAGCGAGCCAGATACAAAGGGTGAGATAGCACCATGGCGGGTGGATGGACCCAGCCATTGGTCGTAACTTCCGGTACGGGCGAGCTGGTCCGAACCAGCAGCAGCCCACCACTGGTTAATATACTTAATATATATTAGATATAGTACATTTAATAGTACATTTCAGATTATAGGTTTGACCTGATTTTTATCTGTAATAAGTAATTTCATCTGTAAACTTCAAAAGCTAACTACAATACTTCTGTAGCAATAAAATGTCTTTGTATTCATATACTGTAATACACTGTTCTATTGTATAGGTCTTTGAAATTAAGATATGGAGCCTGGGCTTTTGAGATAATTCTCATAATGCAATTAAATTTTAGTTTTTCTCTCTTCTATTTAGATCCAGATGAAGATCTATCAGGTACAATATCACTTGTTATGACCCAATGTTGTAAACGAATAAAGGACACAGTTCAAAAATTGGCTTCGGATCATAAGGATATCCACAGTAGTGTTTCTCGTGTTGGGAAAGCAATTGATAAGGTATTAGTATTAATTTTAAGCATCAATTTCAATTCAATTTTAATTTATTGCAGTCCTAAACCAGTACAGATAATAAAATAAAATTTAAGACAGAATTAAAAAATATTTTTAAAACAATTTAACATCTATAAGTGAGATACAGAATATAGAATTATAATATGAATACTAAAATTATATTAAACATAATAATGCATAAAATTACAACAAATAAAAGTGTATTAACAGTCACAAAGTGACATATAAAGTTTAAATGAATTAGAGTTACAAAAATGCATTTCAAGATATTCACCCATCAGAATTCAACAGATCTTCTGTGTTACTGCACAAAACCTAGGTATATGTGCTGTAACCAGGGGTACTTTGTCTATGAGCAACATCTGGGCATAGGCCAAATCTTGGCCATCAGGATTTGTACTAATCAAAGGTAGTATGAATCTGGTTCAGATGCCTCCATAGAAGAAGAAATGAAGAACGTAGAATATTTGTAGCTTAAGTTGAACCCTTGATGCTCTCTGAGCTTGATTGTTTTCTTGCAGATGGTTCATTACCCAACTAAGTGATATCATCAGTGCTAGAGTGAGTGAGGTTTGCTCTGCGTTTATATCTAAGTGGCTTGCCTGTTAGTGTTGGGGGGAATGTTCCTCGTAGTTCCTGGGTTAGACTTTGTCTTTATTTGTAGTTCCTCATTGCTTGATTGTTGATCTAGTTTTAAGGTTGGGGTTAATATCTGTTTATTTGAGTGTTGACTACTGCCAAGGAAGTGTTTTGATCTTTTAGCTTTTTGATTGTCCCTTTTGAATGGTATATAGATGTTTATCTCTATATGCCTGTTGATGGCTGATTAGTCTGAATGCCAAGCTTCTAGGAATTCTCTAACATTTTTTAACTTAGTTTGGTCTTGGATGCTTAGTCCCAATTGAAACTATAGTGGAAGTCTGTCCATGTATTGTGCAATTAAGGAGTTTTCATCATATTTTCTGACTGTTGGTTGATGTTTCTGGATGCTAGCCTTCCGCTTGTTTGTCCTATATGATGGCTGTTACAGTCCTTACACTGTATGCTATAAGTATAAATGATTCCTGTTTTTTTCTTTTGGTGCTACTGGGTCCTTTTATTTACTCAAGACGTTTTAAATTAATTTAGTTAGTTGTGTGTAAGGTTGATACCATGTAGTTGTAACTGTTGATTATTTCTGAAATGTTTTTGATGTATGGCAGTGTTATTTTTCCCAACAGCTTTTGTTGATTGTGTTGTAGTGGATTGAATGGTTAGGCACTTTTTTATAAGGTTATGTGGATATCCATTTCCCTTCCAATAATTTAATTCTTATATTTTAGGGTTTGATTGAAACTAATAAGAGTATTCAGCCACATATTAACAGTTAATAGATTAACACTTGTAATTATAAGATATGAGAACTATTCTATCAATGGTTAGAGAAAAAACATGAGAGCTAGATAAATGGATTAGTTAAGGACAATAGATATTTTTGTTGATAGAAATAAATAAGCTAAGATGAAAGATAAAGAGATAGTGATATAAAGTACAATGATATAATAAGATAAATCTAAAGAATAATACTATGTAATGAATATGATTGTAAACATTAACTGTATTACACAGAATATTTGTAATCAGATGACACATTGTCAAATGAAAAAAGCTATGTTTATAATAAAAAAATAAAAAATTTATGGAAAGAAAAAAAAAGAATATTCAGTCACAGCTCACACAATCTCTGCCCCTGGTCCAAATCTTCAAATAGTTTAGTTTTGTTTGTGTTTTATTTAATATTGTCAAAATGTAACAAGTTTTAACTAATTTCAAATGAAAAATTGAAGAGTGGAGATTATGCACAGATCTACTATAATTCATGCTCATCATGGTAAATGATTATTTGTCTGGGTGTGATATTTGAACATGGATGCAGTAGCTGGGCTGGTACTCTCCATATTGGCTCCTCCACACAATGGAATTGGCAACCCTACATAAGGTGCAACCATGCTTACTAATACAGTAAGCAATAGCTAACAATGTTTTGCCTCTCTTACTGCCATTGTTACTTTAGATGTTTCTTCTGCTACTTTATCTCCTCGATTTCCTGAATAAATCAAGGATAGCTATCCTTGATAACAGTCATGTTTGAGAGTAATTTCATCAAGAGCCCACCTTACCTTACATTGCCCGTGGCCAATAAGGATTGATTTTTATGAGTTTGCCTACTAAAGTTTTGGAAAACTCCTCAACTCATCTCTGGAATTATTGGATCCATAATGTGCTGGGGGCACACCAGTTGAATAATATAATCTCATTTGTGATCTGACCAAATCAGAGGAGTTGTAAAAATTCCTTCTATAACCAGATCACAAGACAGATGCTGTGAGATAAATCATCATCTTTTAACAACTCCATAATCCCTTGCAGGGTAGAGTTTGGGCAACTGAATGGAGCTAGAAGAATATTTTAATGGCTGAATGCTTTTCCTGTTGCCAGTGTGGAGTTTTGTTCAACAGATATGTTTTCAGTGTACCCAGAGAGAGAAATATCCGCCTCTACCTAGGATAAACTCACAGCTTCCTGATTGTGAGGTGAGAGTTCCACCTCTAGGCAACTGCCCACTCCTGCTGTGAGATATTTAGCACTAATATTTTCTTACCAGATTAAGTAAAAAAAGTACAAGGATCAAAAAAAATTATATAGGAGAGAAAATGAAAGATATTTGGAAGCAAGTTCAGTTGTATCCTGTGATGAAAACTAGTATTTCCTGATGCAGTTTGACCTCTTCCACAATGCCTTAAATTAAATGTGAATACAGGGGTTCTTCAACTCTTATATTTTTGGAGATAGAGAAAATGAGTTTGGAGTCTCTTCTGTCTGCAGTTTTAAAATATGGTTTGAATATAGAAGATACAATAGTTTAGTAATGGATGAAATAGTTTGAAAGTGCTGATATTGGCATTTGAATAAAACCAGAAAAATTTGTTTCTCCTAGACTTAATTATCCTTTTTTAATTCACAGAATTTTGACTCTGACATTAGCAGTGTTGGAATAGATGGATGTTGGCAGGCTGATAGCCAGAGGATTCTGAATGAAGTTATGGTTGAACATTTTTTCCGGCAAGGAATGTTAGATGTAGCTGAGGAGCTTTGTCAGGTAATTGCAGCCAGAATGTAGAGGCAAAATAAATTATTTAATAATCATAGATTATATTAATGTGAAAAATACTCTGATAACTAATAGATATGGACTATAACTTTCCCCCCCAGGAGTCTGGACTTTCTATAAACGAAAGTCAAAAGCAACCATTTGTGGAGCTGAACCGAATATTGGAAGCACTTAAAGTTAGAGTTTTGAGACCTGCATTGGAGTGAGTTATTCAGCTATTTGGAAACTCTTTAGATTAAAATCTAATAGATACTGAAATCTTTTCCTTTAATAAAGTTGTGTATGTTGGGGTTTGAGCTACATAAATGTGTACAAAATCTCATCTATCCTGCCTCAACTGAAAGACACAGCTTGAATAATTCTAATAAGTAGCAGGAGCTGTCTTTCTTTCGTTGAATATGGCATTTTCTGAGTAAATAATCAGTATCAGCCAAATAGTACAGTACACTCATGCAATATTAAGCTGAAGCCTGCAGTTAAGAACTGACTAACTAAAGATAAAATGACAGAATGCTTTTCCAAGTTGTGCTCTTTTTCCTATTCCGAGTGCCAAATATGGTTGCCTTTACTTCACAAATAACTGTATTTTCTAAGAAAACATTCTGACATTCCTTATGATATAGTAATTATTTAGCATCCCTATATTTCGTGTGCCCGAGACAGTAAAAAAAAAATCACTTGAGCAAATGTTTAGGAAAACATGAGAATTATCCAGCTTCCTTCTTTGTTTATTTGATATTATTAGAAATAGATTTGGAGCCTTGTAGGTTGTATTCCTACAGTATTATGTGCTACTCTCTGTTTTTTACAAGGCTCCTTGCTAACTTTAAGAATTCCAAGGATTTCTTAAATTCTACTATCAACTCTTCTGCTCTGGAATAGCAAGAATTGTGTAAATGTTGCTTAGAAATAAATAATAATTAGTATGGGCAGATAATTCATGTTCCTCTCACCCTTGGAGAAAGAGTTGCACTAGTTATTCTGCTTCTGAATTGCCAGTACAATTCTTCCATAGGGACAAGATGAAGCAATTCCCTGATCTCCAAACTTGTTTTTAATACATTCTCCAGATTTTCCTGGAGAGATGGTTTCAATATGCGTGGAAAAGAAATTTTTGTTTTGTTATTCTTAGGACTCCTTTTAGAAGATATCCTATAGGACAGGGGTTTCCAACCGTGGCAGCTTCAAGACTCTTGGACTTAAATTCCCAGAGTTCCTCAGCCAGCCTCAGCTTTGCTGGCTTAGGAACTGTGGGAGTTGAAGTCCACAAGTCTTAAAGTTGCCAAGGTTGGAGACCCCTGTCCTATAGAACTTCAGCAACTTTCATTTAAACTGGGATTATCAAATCACAACTGATCCTTGTTTTAATTACAGTTTTGGAATTGATGAGCAAGGTTATAATAAGATTAGGACAACAGAGTTTAATAGAAATTAAGGTCTCTGAAATTGATAATGATTACCATTCCAAATCTGTATTGGAACCAGTCCTGCAAGACTTCTCCATTTAAGCATTGTTCTAAATAACACAGTGTTTTTGGAAGTCTGCTGTAGAAGCTTCATGTTTACTTATTATACATTATCTGAGCTGAGATACTAATAGTTTATTATTGTGTAGTATTAATAAATGAAAGTGAAAAAAAGTTCTTTTAACAGCCTTGCAGACAAAACAGCTATTTGTTCAGAAAATATTTGTCAACTCCTTTGCTCATGTGGAGATTATCTTGGCACATTATGACCCAGTGGGGAAAATGTCAGCTTGCTGTTAATAAAATATCTCTATCTAGTTTCCTAGAGACCATTCATATTTGGCAGAGGACTGTAAGTAAGTAGTGTTTTTTTTTTTAACAAAACAAAGACATTTCCCTGGAACTCTGACCTGGCTTTAACTGGATGGCAGCTACCAGGAACTGTTAATCACAGTTTCCATGAAATGCTTTTTTAATTGCAAGCTACATTGCAAAATATTGGACATTAATTTTGAAATTGCATTTTACAGTCTAAATCCAAGATACTTACATTTGTAGAAAGCATTATTACTTGCTGCTTGCTGGAGGTATACTAGTGATATAAGAAATACAGTAAATAACATTATTTTAGTTTTTAGTGACCTCAGTCAAATGTCAAATAGGTAAACCATTATTCTAATTATTAATTTTCCTGCTTTGCTTTTCTTAAAATTAATTATCCCATTATTTCTTAGGTGGGCTGTTTCGAACAGAGAAATGCTTATGACACAGAATAGTTCCTTAGAGTTTAAGCTACATAGATTATATTTTATTAGTTTATTAATGGGTGGAACTGCAAATCAGAGAGAAGCATTGCAGTATGCAAAAAACTTTCAACCATTTGCTCTCAATCATCAAAAAGGTATGCAATATGAAATACTATATGCTAGATAACAACAGTATTTCAAGTTAAAAGCTGTATGTATTGAATTCTCTACAAATATTTTATTTCCCTAAATAGTTTTGCTGCCTGTTTACAGTTTTTTAAAATTTATTGATAAATATTAGTGCTTTTGTATAAAAACTTAGAGACAGAACACATCTAATTATAAAAGCTTAAGAGTGCTTTCTTCCAAGGATTTTGTTTGTTTGTTTCTGAATCTGAGAGCTGGTTTAGCCAACCAAAGGTTCAAACGGTAGTTTTACTGGCCTATTCATTTTTTCTTTGGAATAATTTTTTCTCACTGCCAATACTATAATACTATTTTTTTAATTCTTTCCCATTCTTGAAAATATTTTTGTTTTCCAGCAAAATGGGCTGCTCTTGATGAAACAAATGCAAAATCACACTTGTGCATCACTTAGGTTCATTTAAGAATTAAACAACTGTTCATATATATCACTAAATAGAACTGCTTGTTTTTTTATGTAACTAAAAACCTCTATACCCAGCATTTTTGAACAGCTCAGACCCTGTTTTTGAGAAATTTTGTTGCACTTGTTCACTTTCAGATTGTGCATCAGAACTGAAAAATAATGGTGTTAAAAAATAGAGTTTCTTGAAATGGTTTAATTATCTGCCCAATGTCTGGTACAGGTATAAGAGAAAATGGAGGTCAACAACATTTTATTTGGGCTACCTAGAGAGTTCTAAAGATACAAATCTTGATTGTAATTATAATTTTAAGTTACATAAAAACACATTTCTGTTTTTTCTTTCTAAAGTGCCATGTGGGAGAGATTAAAAAAATAACTTAAGAACTTTGCAAATTAAAAAGAATGTACCTCCAAAAATTCATTATCAATAATTGAAAGAATCAAATAATGAGATATTGCTGGTGAATTGTCCATTTTTACATGTTCAATATATATTAAAGTTTTTAGAATAAAAATAATATAATTGTATGTGTCCATAATAAAATAATTAAATTACATTTTTTAACCTTTTGCAGATATTCAAATTTTGATGGGAAGTCTTGTATACCTGAGGCAAGGAATTGAAAATTCTCCATATGTCCATTTACTAGATGCAACTCAATGGGCAGACATATGTGACATTTTTACAAGGGATGCTTGTGCATTATTGGGACTCTCAATTGAATCACCTCTTAGCGTCAGGTATGGCTTCTTTCATATTACATGCATTTTCAGGTTGTATTATCTACTTATTTCTCTTTTTAACAAAATTCTATAACACCCAATTCCAAATTTATTACCAAAAATAAAATCCAACCCTCTAGTTAAAACGACAAATTAGCATAAACAGCGTAAAAATCTTAAAGTCCTAACTAAAAAGTATCTATTTTGAACCCTTTCTAAATTGAATAAAAGGTAGGAAATTATATATATAAAAATTACAGAAGATATTAGAAACACCAATCAAGCAGAACACAGCAAACTCCAAGACCAATAAACACAGACCAAGACTCCCAACCAATCAGGATGAAGAAAAAACCATTCTGGCACAGCGTAGGCTAGCACCAAATTTAAAACAGAAACGGTTGTGAAAATCTGACTCACAGACGAACACTGTACAGAAGCCTGATGGTTATACTTTGATCTTTTATTTTCAATTTTGACTTAATTTTGGCCAATCATGAAAATGAAGTTGTATAGAATTTAAACCAGCTATGGGTCATTTTCCAAAGCTATTTCCATAAGATGCATTCTGTTTTTAAAATAAATTTGATTTTGCACTACATTTGAGTATTGTTGTTCTACCATGGTAACTTTATGCACAAATGATAGCATGAATGCATGATATTATTTTCATTCTACGTTAAATGTATCTGAAAAATAACCTTATTGTAAGATTCTTATAGTATTTGCCAATGCTGATAACATTCTTAATATAATTTAGAATATATTATTATATTTACTCAAAAAGAAAGTGATTATGAATGTAGGATTATTCTCACCAAAAAAGAAAAAGTACATTGAAAAAAAAGTACAGGTAGTCCTGGACTTACAACAGTTCATTTTGTGACTGTTCAAAGTTACAGTGGCACTGAAAAAAGTAAGCTATGGCCATTTTTCGCACTTACGACTGTTGTAGCATCCTCATGATCCTGGGATTTACATTTGGATGCTTGACAACTGACTCAGATTTTTTATGGTTGCAGTGTCCTGAGATCATGTGATCCTCCTTTTGCAACTTCTGACAAGCAAAGTCAATGGAGAAACCCGTTTCACTTAACAACTATGTTACTTAATTTAACAGCTGCAGTGATTTACTTAACAAATGTGGAAGAAAAATTGTACAATGGGGCAAAACTCACTTAACAAATTTTAACACATAAATTTTGGGCTCAATTGTAGTCATAAGTTGAGGACTACCTGTACACGCAGCTCTACTCTATTGTTATTAACTCAGAGTTTCCAAATCCACATGAAAATAAGCCTAAAGATTATCTTTCCCCAAGCAATAAATGCATGCATACCATATATTTGCTTTAATATTTATCAATCGCACTCCTGAAGCAGGAAAGAAATCAGATAGTGATGATAATAAAACAACCATAATAGAATTAAAATCATTTGTCTATAAACTAAGATACGTTATAAAATTCATCGAACCGTAACCATTTTATACCAATAATCGTCTCTCACACAGACTTTTTTCACATTGTACTCACAAAAATACATAAGCACAGATTTCCTTCCCTCCTTTTATAGAAATAAGCAAAAGTTTGGAAAAGAGATAAGAGGAAAGAATAGTTGTCCTAATAGAAGAAGGAAAAGGAGGGGAGGAAAACTGAATGGAACTGAGGTAAAGGAAAGAAATACCTGTACAGAAAAAAAGAAAGAAAAATAAAAAAGAATGTAAATTAATTACATTCATCCTGCAAACCACTTCTTTCAAGCAACTGCTAATCCTCAGCTTATTCTCAAACTCCTTAACACTAATGTCTGTATAACTTATTCTTCCATTCATTGTGTCAGCATCTTTCTCAGCAAATGTAAAATAATCCCCTCCTATCTCACACCCAATTCACGGCTAATAATGAAGGAGGGGGAGAGAAGAGAATCTTCTTTTGGGTAAATACATGCTTAGTAAATGTATTATTGTAAGGGAAGTTTCACAATATTAAACTTTAATATTTTGCTTTCTTCAGCTTTTCAGCAGGTTGTGTAGCATTGCCAGCTCTAATTAATATAAAGGCTGTGATAGAACAAAGACAATGCACTGGTGTTTGGAATCAGAAAGATGAATTACCAGTGAGTATTTTTTTGTATCCCAATAGATAATTTCTTACATGGAGTAGGAATTAATTCTATAATGTAAATATTTGGATTAGAATTTTGCACAAATCACATTGTAACTTGAATTTTATTTCTCTTAAGAATGCCCCCAAATCAGGATATTTTAGCAAAATATACTTTAGAATAATGAATGTTTTATTTTTTATTATGTAATGTGATCAATTTAATTTACAGGCAAGCAACATCTGTAGTTGTTTGATGACAGTGATAAATGGCTCTAACATATTGGTACAATTATACAATTATAAGAAACACACATGGGAGAAGATCACAGATCTTAGTCATTTAATAGGACCATATTGCTGGAACACCTTGTTAAAAAGACACCTCAATTAGTCATTTCATATTTATTTGTAAATAAATTACTTAAAGAAGTTCAGTGATTAAGAATTAAATGTTTTATAGCCCACAAATTCTGTCTGATATTTATTTTATCAATATTAAAATAAATGAAGGTATTTTGTTATTGTTTTGTCTAGATTTTGTTTTATTTTTTAGCACTATTAATAAGTCTTGTGAATGCCAGTGTAGTGTATAGTTAAAGACTCCAGGCTGAAATAAGGAGACTATGAGTTCTAGTCCTACATGGCAAACTTTGTCCCAAAACTATAACCAATAAAAAAGATTTGCACTTATTCATGTAGTCATCAGGAATTAAGTCTGATTCAAAAGGGCACATGTACACATAAAAGTACACCAGACTGCTAGTGGCGTTCTCTCATCCTAAATTGTAAGTAATAGTTTAAATTTTTCATGATTTTAAATAATAGAGGAAAGATGAAAAGAGGAATCCAGGTAAACCAAGTAGATATGTGGAGTTGCTTCCACTGCTAAATTAAGTCATGGTAGTCTCTGCATGGTAGTCTCTATTTACAGCCATTGTCATCTGTTGAGGTGTTGGGTTGAAGAAGTGAGATGATAGAAAGTCAAAGAGTCTTTCCTTATAATAATCTCGGAAAGAGACAACTAATACAATCATTGCCTTTTTTCAAGCATCCTCACTCTACATTACTTGGAAAATGCCATTTTGTGGCAAGGAGAAAACAAGGAATCCTATCCATGTCCATCATCATGAGGCGTTTAACTTTCCTATGAATTGCCTGAGACACCTGTGGGAAGTGAAAAGCAGTTGAGGCATTTCCAATCAATTATGATCCTTTCCAATCAGTTATGATGCTTTCCAATCAGTTATGATGCTTTCCAATCAATATGCCTGGAGTAATATAATATAAATCATTGATCTAAAACAGTTAGTGACTGCATCTTTGTTTTGTACAGATTGAAGTGGACCTTGGCAAAAAGTGCTGGTATCATTCAATATTTGCTTGCCCCATCCTTCGTCAACAAACAACAGATAACAACCCGCCCATGAAGCTGGTTTGTGGTCATATTATATCAAGAGATGCTCTGAATAAAATGTTCAATGGCAGCAAGTAAGTCAAAACTCAATTCACAGAGAAAATTGAATTAGTTTTAATTTAACATATATTTGGAAATGAGTGTGAATTATAGCAAATATTGGCAAGAAAACAAAAAGTAAAATCTTTTGAAACCATCTATTAGCATGTCAGAAGATTGAGTAGCTATTTGATTTTATAGGAACTTGTCTAGTGTTCTCTAAACATTTGATATTTTAAATCAATCTTCCCCAATCTAGTCTCCTCCTTCATATTAATTATAGCATCTGATACCGTATTGCTCTGATACTGTACAGCTAACATTTCAACATCTGAAGGATTCCTAGTTGGAAATATGTTCCAAGTGACATGTAATAGAGTACAAAGTATCCAAGTGAATTATGATTTCTGTCCTTAGATGTAGGGAGAACGTTTGACACAGAGCAAACATTGGCTTCTAACCAGAAGTAGAATTGCATGCAGCACATTCTCAGAGTGCAAAGAAGCAGTAAATAAAATCATTTTTCTTTTACTTCTTGGAGGGATTCAGCCATCTAGATATTCTTTACCAAGTAGTTGGCTTGGTAGTATAAATGACAAGGATAGAATAGCAACTGTGATAAATGAAGAGAGAGATGGAGGCTCTTCTTTGGACTCCTGTTTCTTTTTTTAGTCACATCTTCTTTATGTTGTGGTGCAGAAAAGGTAGCAGAAGTGTTCTTTTTTTTTAAGTTGAGATTTTTGAAAAAGTTTATTTCCCTTTAAGGAATCAGACCATTTGCCCATTGAGCCTAGTATCCTCTATATTGACTAGGACAGATAAATAATATAACAGGGTACATTATGTTTTATAAGCTCTTAATCTCACCTCCACATCCTTCTTTCACATAATGGGTTAAATGGCTTTCTCGTCACTGCAGCAGAAAAATGAAAGCAAAATCATTTTTTAAATTACTTTGATAATTTCTATAGCATAATTGTTTTCACAGAAGACTTGAGAGCGATTTAGTCTTTCATTACTTACAATAAGAGAGACTAGTAGTATTGTGAAACTGATTTAAAAGGAAAATAACTTCTCCCTCCAAAAAAATCGGGAGCCCAAAGTTTAAAAATCTAAAGATGATAGCTTGTATTTGAAATGGTCCAGGAAATGTATTTAGTGAAGCTGTTGTACCAATAGGTCTCACACGATTCTGACAGTTGATTCTAATCAATATTTTAGTGCTGCTTTTTGGCCAGAAGATCTACTTATCCAAGTTTCACTTTGTCATTTTTTTACAGCAATCCTAAATTCATCATCCTGCCTAATTATTGGTTTGGGTATAAGGTTTTCCATCTACTTAAGAGATCTCCTTAAAATCTCTTAAATAGGCATGGTAAAAGTTGTTTTTGATGATTTTCTCCTTTTCCAGTTTTAACTTTGATTTTATATTGTAAATCTTGGTCTCTAGTTGTTCTTTGACTTTTTGTTTCAATATTGTTGAATTACGAACCAAATATTGAAGTGAGATAAAAAATGTCAAATATTAATTATTTAAATGTGTTATCTTCAAATGTGGCTGTTTGCATGCCATTTTGCGGCTAACTTTAATATTTTTTTTATTCTTAGATTAAAATGTCCTTATTGTCCTATGGAGCAGAGTCCTGGGGATGCCAAACAGATATTCTTCTGAGAACACAAAAGATTATATGTGTGTGATCTGGAACACTAAAATAGGCAAATGTTCCATTGTATGCTGTACATACGAAGGAGACTTCTTTTGAGTCTGATGCTCCAGAAATTTTTGCCAACATTTATTGCAGATGTACAGTTTGGAAAAGCTCCAGATGTAATATCTGTTATAGGGCTTTTACTGTAATCTTGGTCATCATATCTGATCAAGATATTACACCAGCAGTCATTCAATGCAGATTTTTTTTGTACTTAATTCTATGGTGACTTTGCTTTATAAAGTAGAAACCAGTCACCATATAATTCTAATATTTGTCCTGCTGTTATCATTCTGATTGATTATTGTCACCATAAAGAATGTGAAGGAATTTTTTTCATTAGCATGTAAATAATTAAGAGAAGATTTCAGGAAAAAAGTTTAAAAATTGAATATCGGATATACTTGTATTCCTCTTATTATTTTTCCAAGTCAGAACTCTGACAATTTTCAGAGAGTTTTTTCCCCTCCTGTTGGAACATTTCCCCCACTTTTAAATGCTACCTAAATTCTATCTAAATGTGCTTATATATAAATTGCATAATATTTGTATAAGCATAACAGATTTCCAATCATTTCTGATTTAGAAAAATAGCAAGTGAATAACGTTTCCTACCCTTGGATGTAGGAAACATAAATTTGTTTCAATTGTTTTCATAACCAAGAGTTCTTTGGGTAGCTAAAAGTATTCAATATCACAGAGTTGTAGAATGGAAAAATTTTCCTGGTAATACTTGTTCTTCAGGGTTTGTTTTTTTTAGTTATACTGTAATTTTAATTTAATTTGATTTCAAGATCAGTGTCTTGTTGCTGTACAGTTTACTAGACATGATTGTTACATTATTTATAGTTATCAGAACCAAATAAATACACTGTTGCTAATGTTCATTGTTAAGAAGGGGAATAAAAGGTGTTTTACTAGTCTTTTTATCCCTGGATTGGATCTCCATCTTAGAAATAAATATATCTTCAGTTGTTAAGAGCGTTGTGCCAGTGTCCATGTCCCCTTTAATATCATGATAATATCATTTTATTCTTAAATTTATTATACTGGTGACAAAGCAAATATCTAGATTAGAAACTTTAAACTGGATTTGATTACCATTCTCCCTACCTGGTGAATATTGAGTATCATAGTCAGGAAGAAGAAACTAGTAGATTCTAATATTCAAAGTCTTGCCAATTTGCAGTGGCCTGGATTCTCTGGGAAAAGCTAGGATAGGTAAAGGATTATGCATTTGTACTATAAATATTATCCAAAGTGAATATGTACTTATAAATTTGATGTGCATTATAGCAAATGTGTGCATTCATTGCACTCTCCTACAATAAAGCAGAGGAGCTATTTGATATTTATTGCTACCAAGATTCCATCTTTCAATGACTGGATACTAAAATAATTAAATCTACTGGCCCAGCGTGTTACACAGAAAAATGTTCACAAAGGTTTTACATGTTCTGATAATTGGTCATAATCCCAAAGAATATACCAATGCAACCTGACACTATTGTTCAAATAGAAAAAAAAGAAGTAAAACTGTACACTGTATTCTGAGTTACTTCTATAACATGCTTCTATAGAAATTTAATAAAGATAATGAGAAACAAGTAAAAGTGTTTTCTGTTCAGGTTCAAATCTCAGTGAATTTGCTTTTATCGTAATAAGAGAACTGCACTTGTGTGAGTCAAATATATTCTACTCAGTGACATAAGAAAAAATTGAAAATGTAGCAGTGTAATACACAACTATATTCAAGTCCCAAAGGTGCTTTTTTCAAAGAGGCAACTGGACTTTTTGGTTTTGTTTGAAGATGTTTTGCTTCTCATCCAAGAAGCTTATTCAGCTCTGTCTGGATGGTGGGAAATGGAGTGGGGAAAAAACACAAAGTCCAGTTGCCTCTTGAAAAAAGCACCTTTGAGACAACCATGACCTGGATTTACCAAGAATCTCCAAAGAAACTCTACTCAAGGGGAACATTTATAATGTAAGGATATTTGCAGATGTCATGTATGTGGCCCATCAATTTCAATGAGTATTGGGGTTTTGTAAATGTTTGATAGAAAACTTTTTTTACTCCAAGAAACTATGCTAGTTTGCCTATTTTATATGTAAGGATTGATATCTTTATACTAAAATATAAGGACTGATATCATTTTAGTGGACTCCAAAACAAAAGTGGAGTTTATCCTTCCTAAGATCACTGGGGAATATATTAGTTCGTAGCTATTTTATTCTGGGAGAGATGGCTGCATTGTTTTTAAACCCAGAGATTGGAGTTTTACCCCATCAGTTGTATGATGGAATGCCATGGTAAATATGAACTATGATGTTCTACACTTTTTTTTAGAATTTAGAGTTATGTGTGAATTATTGTTGAGCTTTTTCATTAATCTTACAGTTTTGTTTTTCTTGAAAACAATACACTATAAACAGATATAGTTTATTTTAGCAAACATTTCCCAATTATTTGATTCAAAGCACAGGCCATCTTGCCCTTGAGATCTTCATTGATATGACTGACGTGACGAAACACCTGTCACTCTGGGGAGTGATAATAAAAATAATACCTACAAACATGTTTTGTGGTTATAACATGTTTGTGAGTTGTGTGCTAGATCAGTATTTCTCAACCTCAGCAAGTTATATGGACTTCAATTTCCAGAATTATGCAGTAGTATGTTGGTTGGGGAATTCTGGTAGTTGATGTCCATACATCTTAAAGTTGTTGAGAAACACTGCTAGATTATCATTTTGCAAATATATATATATTCTTTTTCAGTACACACAAGCTAAGGCTCAGTTTTGATAGCTTTCTGCTGATACAAAAAAGATACAATGCACACTTGAATGCATGAATGGGGATGGTCAATTGGTAGAACTCTGCTGGGCTTATTATGCTGACAATGTATTATGTTACATGGTTACTGTAATGAGTATAAAATGTTTGCTAAATGTATTTTGCTTTATTTTATTGCCTCAATAAAATTTCTATGAAAACAACAGTAGATGCTTGGAACTGATAGCATCTGACTTGGAAAGTCCTTATATTTTAGGTATCAAACAATTTCATGTGAACTATTGAAGTTGATTAGCAAAATGAGCTTTCAATATGAAAATTGTCCTGATACCTTGTTTCTGTGTGCGTGCCTACTTTTCATTTCTGGCTTGTTCTTTCAGGTAATTAAGTATACAAATAATCAGATTCTTTTTTCTTCTACATGTACCTACTTTTATAGATTCTTTCCACACTATTTAGTCTGGAATTACTTTGCTTTTTTCACTTTTTGAGAGTATTATCTAAACCAGTGTTTTTCAACCTGGCCAACTTTAAGGTATGTGGACTTTGGCATGCTGGCTGGGGAATTCTGAGAGTTGAAGTCTACATATCTTAAACTTGCCAAGTTTGAGAAACATTGATTTAAACTATATTCTCATCCAGTAATGTATATCCTTCATTTACCTTGCGGTTCTGGTGTTTTATTTATTTGTTTTTGAAGTTTTTTGGTAGATTACAAAAAAATTATTTGTTGGAATAATCACTGCAGGATGGCAGTGGCAATGACAATATGAGCTTCTTGTCAATCAAGCTAATCTGTAAGAGCTCATATCCTTTCAAAAAAAATTCATTCTATTGTTTTATAATTAGTGATTTAACTTTTTGATTCTATTGTTCATGGAATGGCATAGTGTTATAATATTAAAATTAATAAAATAGACTTTTATAACATCAACATTTCATAATGTTAATTTAAAAGTAGTATTTAACAACATTTTTTAAAAAAAACTTTCACTAATGAATAGGTTTTTCTGTTGGTTTCCAAAATAAGTTTCCATATCACATGTAGGAATAAATATTCAACTAATATATATAATATATATATGGCAGAATCTCATCTGTCATCATCAGGCTTGTGTATTGTGCCTGACTCACAGATGAACACAATACACAAGCCTGATGATGGCAGATGAGATTCTGCCGGAATGTCGCTACTTTAAAAGCATAACTATAATGACGTGGGAAAATACCTGAACAAAGCTGAATACATACATACATACATACATACATACATTGCACAAATAGCAAGAATGGTATGTTTCTCCTCCAGTTACTTGCAACTTTTATTGCAATGGATGCCATTCCCAAAAGATGGCAGTCATTTGTGATGGAGAGCATAACCACAGCAATCTTTCCCTTTATGATTTGGAACTTCATGTTATGCTAAAGAAATGATCATTTCAAAGCCTTCCACATACAGAATTTCTCATTTTACTGTTGCTATTACCAGAATTGGCAATTTCAACCATAACAACAAAGTACAAAAGAAAGTAAAAAAATGACTAGCCTCTTTGATTATCGCCATTTTTAAAGAATTTTCCCCTCACACATATTTGTTACTTGGTGACAAACAAGATAATTGAGCTCAGTCTATATTGATTTCTTGGATTTAAACACATAACTCAGCTACCTTTGTTTCTTCCTTGCCTTTCAGTTTAAGTGACTTAAATGTTTATTTTCAGATTAATTAGAATATGTTTTCTGTCGGTTATAAATCTTTCCAGATAATTCTTAAATAAATGGTTTGCTGTTATAGTTTTCCAGCTTGATGTAGTATAGCTCAGCCTCAATGATCCAGAGAGTGATTTTGGTGGGAGTAGGAGCTCCTGGTAGGATCATTTCCTGTAAGGGTGAAAGGATTTTTTAAGATATGGGAAAGTAAATACTTTAATAACTGTATGGCATTCATTATAATAATGACTATTGCCCTGCTAAGCACCATTTGAATGTTTTACTTAGTTTATTTGAATTTTTTACTTTAACTATGGATCAGATAGTTGTGGCTAGAAATTATAATCAAATATTAAATCCTCTGTTAGACTATTCTAGCTAAATCTATCTCTTGTAAAGTCCTACAGGCATATGTGTTGGAATTTAATTTGGTAGTTTAAGATGTTATAATTGCTTCCCAGTTAGAATGTACAACAGGTTTGCTCCTGCCTTATTTTTTTATTATCTTTATTTTTATTCGGATAGAGAAATGAAATATCAGCCTTATTGTAATAGGCAGCCATGCTTCAGTAACACTATTATTACAAGAAAAAAAAAACTTGCTTTTCTTTAAAAAAAAAAAGTTGTTTGAATACATTAATATTGAAAGATTGAGTTTGTGTAAAAAGATGAAACAAAAATTTTATGATTTTAAAAAAATAAACGTGAAATTAAAGGTTCTTTTACTGTACTTCATGGAAAAAAATAAATCTATACAAGAATATTTGGAAACAAGTTAATATGCAAGATAACCTACACCAGAATTTCTTTTTTGTCTGCTAAATTGGAACTTAGGTTCCTTTATGCATTTGATACAGAATTCTCATTAATTGCACAAACATATTCGAACAAGGGGAAAGTCCTGGTAAATTATTGGCCTCTTACTTGAAACTGCAATAACAAATGAATATTTATGTTATTAAGAATGCTTACAGCAATGTATGTTATAGCTTTGATACAATAAATAAACATGTTTATTTTATAATAAAAGTTAGCAAGGAAGATTAAAAAAAAAAGTAATATAACTCTTCCAAATATTATTTGTGGCTAACCTGTTTATTTGGTTGCATCTTACTTTTAAATCAATACAAACAGAAGGAGCTCGCAATCTTGATTACTATTTTATTGATTGGCATAAGCATATACCAATTTTCCCCCTCACCTGATTATGTCTGGAAGTTTCTAAAGATCCTTTTTTGTATATATTTTTTTCTAACATCCTTTAAATACCATGATTTAACTCTGAGTATGAACCCTGATAAAAGTTCAGCTGATTGTGCCAGGAGTTATCTGATTTTCTTGTTAAATATCGATGTAACATTTCAACAGTCTCAAGTTCATGCATTGTAAATGATGCCACCTTCAGTGGTCTATCCGAGGGGTCTTCAACCTTGGCAACTTTAAGACTTGTGGACTTCAACTCCCAGAATTCTGAGAGTTGAAGTCCACAAGTCTTAAAGTTGCCAAGGTTGGAGACCCCTGGTCTATCCTGTGCCATTTTCTTTTGTAATGTAGAACAAAGTCACCCATAGCTTGTACTCTCAACAGGTAATATAATTGTTCATTCAGAAAACTGGGATTGATGATAGTTTCACTGGATGTGGAAAAGGCTGGTAATTGGTGTAGTTCCAATTTTAGAACAAGTTTTGGCCAGATGCAAAAAAAAATTATATTACCTGGATTACAATGGATTATATGTTGATTATTATAAAAATGTTTTATGAACCATCATGAATACCTTTTATCTCTTATATTTCTTTCAGCAGGTCATCGGCCATTCTGGCTTTATTTATTTAGCATATGGCAATTCTGGCTTGAACCAAACTGCATCACATCATGATATACGTTTGATTGATAATTATGAATTATAAAATGCATTAATATAGTAAATAATTTGATAAATTATCAGATTACAGAATTAATTGATGTAAGTATGTAGCCTTTAATGTATCTAGGGAAATCTGTCATTACTGTGGTGTTAGTTGACATTTGCGGAGGAAAGATGCTGATGAGGAAACACCTCCCCTAAGAAGCTGTCTTAGGGAGGCTGCTTCTGTTGTCCTTTATCCCTTTACATGTTTTCTATTTTCTGTTATGTTTTATTCTATCTTACTACTTTTATTCTGCTCCTATGTACATTTTTTTAAATCTTAAAAACTACCTGCCTTAATCTTCTGATACACAGAGCGGTCAAATCAGGTGTCAACACTGGGAAGGAGAAACAAAAAAAAGTCCTCACATTCTGCAATACAGGCTTCATCCAAGCCCCAGAAACAGGTGAAAGTTGCTAGATATACTGCAACCGAGCAGGTTCGATCTGTATGTAATACAAGCCCTCTGCTTGATACTTTAGAATGGGATCTCTAGTAAGAGATTGAAAGCCAATAACCTAGAAATCTCTCATCATCTCTAAGAGGACATCCTCTCCCCAGAGGTTTCTGCCATCTAAGCAGCAGCAGCGGCAGCATGGCTTACTTCAAGAGAACCTGAGATTCTAGATCTAAAATATTTTTTAAATGGTAGCCTGGCAGACTTTGTAGGCAGTCATAGTGAAGGAAGAAAGCAGGATTCAGCTTTTGTCAACTGTCCCAACTTGATCAGTTAGAAAAGAAAGACTCTTAGGCCTTGGCTAGCCAAAGGTATATTTTACTAAAGCCAAGTTGTTAAGTTTGGAGAATAAGGAGACCAGACATCTGACCAGTGACTTC